TGTAATTACAACTAACTCAAGCCCTTAGATTAATAAATACACAAAAATGGAACCTAAATCAGAAACGCCTATCTCCCAAGTGCAGAAGCTATGATCTCTACTGTGTTTCATCACATTGCTCGAAACTAAGAATTTGAAAGATTCTGTGATTTAATGTGGTAAAATTTAGGTGTGAATAAACCATTCCACCAACAAAGGCGAATTCATTCAGCGATCAATATACCTATTGACCAACTCGATGTCGGATATGTAGTCATTGCAATTATGCCCCAAATGCGGGTAGCTTTGTAATGTGACGCAATGGGGTACCTAGAGAATGCTCAGCTCAGTATTTGCCATGTTCTTCTGAATGCCTTGCAACCGACCTAGGGCTACATTAGAAACTGTCATTAAGGCTGAAACCTATAGATAAGTGGCAGGACAGACGAGCCACTGCGCTACAGCAGGATGTATGAATATAACTGATAGCCCTGGCACTTTTTAAGCACATGAGGCTCTCTGGTGACTAGGATGGTATTGATTTTCGCAATTGTCATAAATTCTGTTTGTGCTGTGACAAGATGTGTTGATAAAATTGGAGATTACTTATTTATGTACTACTTATGCATATCCATATGCACCTCAGATGTCTACATAGAAAAAAAAAAAGGGAAACAGAGGTTGTTCGAAATGAGGTTCAAGATTCTCATAAAAGCATAAATAATTTTTAATACACAACCCTCATCTGGGTTGTGAGGAAAATACTCACTTTTTTCATCTTATTTATATATTATGTCTACATAATACAATTGAGATATGGATCGAATTTGTGTTCTTGTTCCAGCAGTTCTGTTCTTTTGGTGCATTTTTGTTTTATAGTCCCCTTTTGGACTGTGTGTCTGTTTTTTCTGAGGCCGTTTGCTAGTGTGCCTGTGAGCTGTAATATGAGAGTTGGTTGTGCTCCTCATGGCAAGCTTAAAAAGACATTAGATGAGTTATGTGTGCTATATATATGCTTTCTTTCTGGACCTACAAGTGCACAGTATTGACCAAGCTTAATTCTGTTTGCATTAAGTTGCACTGGTGCTGTTCATGTCACAGTTCACAGTCGTATAAGCGAACGGCATTATAGTGTTGTTGAAAGCCGTATTATACACTGGTTATTTATTTTCCCTCACTTCATTTTTGTTGCATTGTGTGTGGACATATGCACATGCTAGACGCATTTGTTGAATTTTGAGTCTGCTAACTGCTCTCACGTGAGTGCCGTATCACGACATCTCGCCCCATCGCTTTGTTAGAGGCTGTGGCCATAATGCCTAGGTTGCTGGGTGCTGCTGCAGTGGGGCTGGGGGAATCGGGGGCAGATGCCAGCCTTTGCTTTGATGTATGGGGCCCTGCTTATGTTGTTGCGCTATCGTCTCGTCCCCATTTAAATGAGACATTTGTTGCGTACCGTGCTGTCTTACGTTATTCTGCATCAAAACCTGTTTGCTTCTGGCTTACGTAAAGCTTTACTGCATTTGTCAACTATTTATTGAAACTCTTGTTAGTGTTCACCTCTGTGCGATTTCCTCCCATTTTTATGTGTTTCATACTAGTTAGGAAAAATTTTCCTGCTCATGTACTACGCGAAGTGCTAACAATGTACAAATATGTGGCCACAGATATTTGCTGCTCGATATTCTAACAGCCATGCATGTTACAGTAAGCTAATTGATGTTCTGCGCATAGACAATTTTTCTTAGCAAGTAACTGGACTGACTGTGAATAGTTGTCACACTAGGGCCTCGAATAGTACTGGCCACACATCTGTGCACTGTCTGGAAGTTCTTAGGCATTTACAATGACATTACGATCACCAGCATGTACAAGTGCCATATGCTGTGTGTTGGAAACAGTTTTTTATATTGCAGTTCACCAACAGCACACCATGTGCATATTATGTGGGGTCTCACTACATCATTGCAGTTGGCGCTGTCTTGCTCCAGCACGGTTGCTCCTAGCCCATCTAGAGAATACGTCTTTCCGCCATGCCCTATACTTAGTCTCCTCGTTAAATGTGTTGATGGGGGACATTGTGTATTCTGTACATTTCCAACTGTGTTCTTGTGTGTTGGCATTACAGTGGAATATCCTTTGATCTGCTGTCGCGGGGAATAAAACAAGACACGTTTTTTTTCCTGCGTCTCTTATTGGGTGTTTGTTGTGTTAGCGACATCCAAGCACACTTACCACATTGTATTAATGCAGCTGTTTTTATCTACACCAAAACTGATGGCACCTGACTTAGTGTTGCAAAGTCCCTTTCAGGGACTTTGCAACACTGAGTTATAATGGCAGTGTCTCATTATAACTGCATCATGCTTTACGAATTATGTAGCAAACATTCTTCGAATCCGTCAAGTATACGAGTGAACTTTCAGGGGTTTGTCGCATGCTTCAAGAGCCTTCTCCCTTCTTTCATACTAGCGAACACACTGAAAGCTATGCAGGGATAGAAATAATAAGGGGGTGAGAAGATGCATTCTTTCGCAGCGAGATTGCAAGTGCACATGTTGTCGAAGATCAACAGAAGATGATTGGTAATTGATCGTTGGCTGCTGTCTCCGCCATTGTGTGCCAAGAAGTGCGTGGCGTGCATCGCTATTATCAACATCTACAGTTCAGTGTTTGTCACCATTAAAGGCATATTGTTGGTTGTCTCACGGCTCCATCTTTCTGGCGGCGCTTCACCTAATGAAGGCCAGCATTCTGTGACGAAAGATGCCGGAACCCGGGACCACGAGCAGCTCCCATAGAAGTAAACAACGAATGGCAGTGACTAGCTGTTTCTACTAGAAATCGCAGCCGGAGCAATTTTATCCTCATCGGAACCGCACCCAGGCAAGCAGCGAGCAGAACCGGCTATCTATGAACAAGTAAGCTCTGAAATAAACGACATGCACCGCCCAAAAGCTAAACGCACTGCTAGACAAACGTGGTTAATGAAAGTTGTAAATGAGGCAACAGCGCTGTTGGAGAACGACAGCCAAGACCGAACCGCGTTCAGCACATGGGGCCAGCCATGATAACTAAGAAGGTAAGCTTAAACAATGCCTCCTCTAAACAATGCCTGGGGAATGGCTCGCGCTGCCAGCGGAGTTGGCCTGCCTTCAGTTTTGAGCAAGCGCCGCGCGGTGGCGCTCGCGACCGAGACTATCATCACGGCGACGGGCGGTACCAGCCATAGCTATGTACCAGCTAGGCGTTTTTCATCTGCGGCCCATAGGGGCGCGTCAGTCGAGAGTTGTTTGAGACCTGCAACTCTACACCGCTATTTCGGAGGCTATGCAAAGTGTTGTGTTGTTGCACCGTCCGCCACAGGTGACGCTAGTGACCGAGAACATTCTAAAATAAAGGAGAGAAAGGGTGTGGCAGCCGTTTTTCTTCTCATGCGGCAGGCATCTTCTAGAGGAGACGTTGGCTTAAATCAGTCAAAGGCATAGATTTCAGTAGATGGGGCAAAAATCTAAGCATATGGCATCATTTGTAGAGAAGAGACGGTGATTTTTAACCGACTTCAAGAATAAATTGTAATTTTCAGGCCCTTCACACGCTATAATATTTGGCTCCCATGTTCTTGGAAGCCTTAAGTACCGATCCCCAGTGTTTTCTGACTATGCTGTTTTGCAGGGCCTCTTAAATGCGAAGCATTTTTTAGCAAACCTCTGCGACTTTTCACTTGTCATGTAAACCATGATTTATATAACATGGTCTCAAGGTGCCTGAGGCCATTTAATAAATGAATATAATATACCAAGATTGGTATGACAAGAATTAGTATATGTGTATAACGAATATAAATAACAGCTGGTAACACGAAAATTATGACATGCATGTCATGTATGGCATGACTCACTCGCCATGTTCATGGTGTGCTTGCGGTTGGCTCTTTAGCTTGATTTACATGTGGCATTGTGCGATTCGACTGTACGATGAACATAAATGACAGGTGGCAACTTGAAAATAATTGCAAGCATGTCATGTACGGCATGACTAGCATGCGACGGTCGTGGCGCGCTCGGAGCCAGTTCGCTAGCTTGATCTGCACAAAGATTGGTGCTACGTGACTTGACTATTTGCATGCATCTCCGGTTGATGGCACTGATGGTGTTTTTTGCGCACTTGAGCACTGCTGCACATTAGGCTGGGCTGGCCACCACACTAGTGCACTCCACTGGGGATATTGATGGTGGAACATGGTGCAATTCTATTATTCAACATATTCTGGCAGACGATGTGGCGATGTTGCATTAGTGTTGGTATAATTTACAGCTAATGTTGCTTCAGAACATGGCCTGATTAGATGGAAAACGTGCATGGTTTGTATGTAGTTCGGCCATGCTCGCACAAGGCAAATTTCGGTGCTAAAACCCAAGTGCCTTGCATTTCCTTAAAATTGTCACAAGTCTGGCGGTAATGCCACAGACAGCAACATGCTGACAGAGGAGAAATAAAAAAAAAGTGTAAGAGCAACAGCAGCATCACTGAAACTGCAAGAGAACAAAGAAAGGCGTGGAGCATCGTGAGAGGTCGTCGCATGTGAAGAGCACTGCATACCTTTTTTCTATAAATTTGATTATGTTTTGCTAGTGCATCACCTGGCACATCACCATTAGATGCAGCAGTTGCAGTTGACAGCAATATTTTGGCTGCAAAACTGGCACTGCTGCTGCCTCAGCCACTCTGCAATGAGCACATTGTGGCTTGATGGAATGCTGTTCGATGTTGCATACTGAAGAATAAAGGAAAGGTTTCTAAATTTTTTGACCAAGGTCTCTTTTTATGATTGTGCTATGCAATATTGGGGCAAGATGTAATCGTATTAAACACATGAAAATGCATTATTTCCAAGAAACGTTGGCATGGAATAAAAAAAAAATTGTATCAATGAAATTCCACCGTATCTACCACAATATATGTTTCATTAGTATGGTATTCGCCGGAGTGTACATGCATGACAAACATGCGATATGCTAGATGTCATGAAATGAATGGTTTCATTTGCTTCAATGACAGACAAGGCGATGCATGCAGCTCTGAGCTGGCTGCTTTGCATTGCATAGATTTACGCAGTGTGTGATATCTTCTGTATTTTTCTGAGCGTCGCTTTTTATAGGAATTCAACACTCTTGTAACACAGAGACCAGAAAGGAGGTCTTTGTTGCATTGGGGCACCATACACAACTGTCGCTGTAATGACATTCAGAACCGTCGAGCAGAAAGAGGCACGCGCTCAGTCGACGTGAACAGGCGCCAACATTACTCCAGGCAAAGAAAGGGTCCCCAACACCTATCACCGGCAGGAAGGAGAGAAACGGTGGTTGTGTTTTCTGACCCCGAACACCTTTTGTTCGTTCTACTGACGAAAGCCTGCAACTTGTACGGGCGATGCCACGAGGGGATTAACGCGTCACTGTTGGGGTCCCTTTGCAGAAACTTTACGTTTGCTCTCAGTCTTTTTGGGTGGAGGCACCAGGCTTTGAAGGTAATCGTGCAGGGGGCCCGAGTTCCTCGCGACGAATAGCACGTCATCGGCAGTCACGGTGCTTCTGCGACAGTGCATCGCCAGCATGCTGAGGTCGCGAGCCACACGGCCCACTTCACGGTGCACCAGTTCAGTGAGAGCGGCTACCGTATGGCGCTGCACGGGAAGGCATCCTTCTTTCTCGGCCATGTCATCGCAAATGCGTCCCACGGTGTAGTGCACGGCTGCTTTGAGGCACGCTGCATGACTCACCCGCTCCACTTCGTCGGGGTCTCGCGACATCGTGTCGCTACGAAACGGCAACCTCTAAACGTCTTTGTGCAAACTATAGTTTTGAAGGACTGCAAGGAAGTAGTGGATCACGAAAGCGTCGCAGTCGTTGCTATGATCAGCTATGATACCGTTGCTTTCGCTACTTGCGCGCCGAAACTTGCGTCGGTTGGATCGCAGGTTGGATACATTGAATACTCGAACAAGCTCGCAAACTAAACGCCTAATGTCCAAATGATGTTAAAAATTTGCTTGTTTGATTATTTTAGTGCTTATGCTTTAATTAAAACGTAAAAAAAATTAACTATGACAATATTTATGCGACATACCAAAAATATGCATGAAATGCACACTGAGTACGCATTACCAACGTCTTCGCTAAATACGAAGCCATGGTGCTCCAAGTCTGGCATCATTCACCTCGCGGAAAGTGACTTGCGCTTGCGGCGGCGAGTGTTTGTGAAATGGAAGATATTGGCATCATCGTGCCCGACAAGGTGAGCAGTTTATTTTATAAATTGTGTGGCATTCTAGACAAACACTCGACTAATCTAGCCACGCAAACTCGATCAACCGGCACTCCTTGGTCGGTCTGATTTTATATGTCACTTGAAAGCGCAGGTGGTGTGAGAAGCCGAGTCACTGTCCCGCTCTGAATGAATCGGTTTAACGTAATTTTGCACTATTGCTCTTCCAAATCGCAAGTCTAACGTCATACGTCTACGGAAATGGTCAGTATTGCAGTGTCATGTCCTGCGTACCACCGCAAGCTTCTCAACTTCAGGACTTAAACTTAGGGCGTTCCTAAATACTTTCGTACTGCCGTACTTTCCCTCTTCTCTGTTACCAAGCGATAAGTTTCATGAATATAGCTGTTCGCATGAATTCCGACTGACGCATTCTTTGTACTGCGATGTGGGCTTAAAATTACGTTTTAATGCCCTCCTGCCCTGGTTGCTTAATCGCTACTCGTAGTAATCATCCGCCGGGATCATTGCACAGAAGACAGTAGCTGTCATCAGGCTCCCTGACTGAGCTCCCTCACCTTTTCGGTGTTGCAAAATCAATTTAATTTGATATGCAAAATGAGGTCCTTCTTCTACCAAGACGTGTGCCCTTGCATCACATAATCATTGTGACAGAGCAAGAAAGCACTGACGTGTAATGTTTTGTTGCAGGAGGAGGTGCTGAACTTGGAACCCAAGTTACCTGGCACGGATGATCAAGATGGCGAGGATTTCTACATCAAGTACAAGGTATTGTTAATATAATTTAACTAGCCTGTCTTGAGAAGCAGCATAACGTTTGTGTAACTATTATATAGTAAAGCTGTTTATAGATTTACATCTAGTGTAATGCTTCACAATAACAATTACCATTCATTGTGGTTATGGTGTTTCTGCCGTCTGTCGTATGTGTTGAGCCATGTTGTCATGGCAAGGAGCATTTGTAAGCAGAGCATAAAGTTACAACTTTTTCGATTGCGCTTTGTTTGTACAGAGGCCTGGATTCACTCTCTTGGGTGGGCAGAATATTTGCTGTATGTCATGCTACAGCAGATCGCTGCCATTGTTCCCATAGCTGACATAAACCGTGAGTGTCGCCATGCGCCAGTGTCTCGCTCGGTAGTCTGCTAACATTACACAGTGAACCACACTCATGCGGTGCAGCCACAGTGAGAGAAATCGATCACGTTTGATCATATGTGCTCAATGTCATGTTTGCACTGATGTAACTTTTTCTTCCCCATGCGATTCTTCCCTGTGTTATGTTAGCCTCCTGTGTGCTTGTCTGGACAAAAGAAATGAGGGAGTGCTCAAAGCATGCAGAAAATATCAGTAACTGCACGTTCTTGAGACAGATTTGAGAAAGCTTTACGGCAATTCTAGTCGTGAAGCAGTAGACTGGCAGAGAGGTCATTCGATGATTACTTGAATAAGTGGTTCAGGGCCCCTTTAGGTGTCATCGAGCTGCTGATTGGTTCCGGCGAGATTTGTTGCGTTCAAGCTCTTCAAGCTCACCCTGATGTATGTTCCCCTGTGGCCTCACAAATACATTCCTACCACAGAGCCATGTGATTTGAAAATATGTCTGCTGGCAAATGTGCATGCTCTCAACTTTCTGTTCGGACTTCCCTCTACCAACTTAATTCAGTAAGTGCAGAGTGGGAGCAAGATCTTTACGAGAGGTAGATCAAGGTTCAAATTCCAAGGCTTTCCGAAAAATAAAATTTCTTGTTCCTACCAAGGCATTACGCCTGAACCCACTACATACAACTCAGTTGTTTTTATTGTTGGTGGTGCAGGGCTTGAAGTCTCTCTTAGCTCATGGGAGACTTCCGCACATACAGGAATTGTGTGTATGTCTACGTGGGAGGAAGGTCAGGTATGCATGTGTTGCTGATCACCAGGCAATCTATCTATCTGAGGGGCCCACCCTAGCCTTGCCAAGCTTCTCTGAGCATTAAGTGTGCCCTGCAACACTTTTTCAAGTGATCATCAAACGACCTCACTACCGGAGTTAATCAACTCATGAATCAATTACTTTAAAGATTTTTGAAGTCTGTCAACTACAAGTAGAGTTACTGGTACTTGTGATATGCTTTAACCGTTTTTTTCTCTATCTTTATCGTGATGAGCATGCTATATGCTACACAGGAAGAGAGGGCATGGCGAAGGGGTTGAAAGATACATTAGCGTGTATAATGACCTTAAGCTTTTCCTTTTCTTTTGCTTCTTTGAATGCTTTGGCTCACTTGTGTGATTATGAGTGTGCTAGTTTTGCTACTGTGCAAGTCTGGCACACTACAGAGCATGTTGCCAGTATGTGGTGGCATCCTGTGACAGCCATGGTGACTATGCATCACAAGAATGCTCAAATCAGTCAATGGATGTATCCTTTGCTCCAGTGACATAGATGGCACCATCGATGACCTAATTTGCAGAAAGAAAAGGGCAATTTTCATCCGTTTTTGAAATGTAATTGTAAACTTTCTGCCGTGCATTATGCTATAATATTCAGCTCGCGTATTCACAGTTTCGTTGACTACCAACTGGCAGCAGTTCCTGATGATGTTCAAAAGTGTTGCAGGGCCATTTACTTATACGTCAGAGAAACTTCGAGTGACTCTGCATAGCCTACAAAATACATAAGGAAACATTGATTCCCACAGTACGTGATAGCTGCAAAACTTCACTCTGGAGCTGTTCAAGCTCATAGTTAGGTGCGTGATTATGTGCAAAAACTTTCCGAGCCCTGATGCGCTATTGAAGTGTGTTGCTTAGCAACCCATGGGCTGTAGGCGAGTGTTGTAACCACTACACTATCCAGGCATTGTAGCAGAGCAAACATTTATGGGAACCATGTGATTGAGAACGAAAAAAATAAAAAAGAGAAATAGAGAATACAGGAAGAAATAGAGTTGGAAAGCATAACATAGCTATGTATACTACAATATAGCAATGGTGTGGGAAAGGAAAACGTGGGTGAAGGTGTGTGATGCGAGGATGAGAAGGAGGAAAAACGAAGGACATCAGTCCTCACATTACTAATGCATAGCTTCCTCAGTTTTTTTACAACTATTGCTTGTCTCTTTGCAGAAACTGGAGCGTCAACTGGAGTTCCTGGCAGTTCAGGAGGAATACATCAAGGACGAGCAACGCAACCTAAAGAAGGAATACTTGCATGCCCAGGAGGAAGTGAAGCGCATCCAGAGCGTACCGCTGGTCATTGGCCAGTTCCTCGAAGCTGTGGACCCACACACGGGCATTGTGGGCTCCACCACAGGTTCCAATTACTACGTGCGCATCCTGTCCACGCTAGACCGTGAGCTGCTCAAGCCCAGTGCCTCAGTGGCACTCCACAAGCACAGCAATGCACTTGTTGACGTCCTGCCCCCGGAGGCTGATAGCTCAATCTCCATGCTGCGTGCTGGTTTGTACTATTGAGTAATTGATTCTTTAGTTGCGGTACAAGTCTTCTACATTTGTGTTGTGCAAGATGGAACAGCATTTTCTGACGAAGTCAATAATGAACGAAAGAATGGGACCTTTTTCTGAGGGGCTCATTCATCCGGTCAACAAAATGAATTGAACTAACAGTTAGGCCAGGAAAATCATGCATAACATTAATTGTTCTCTTTAACACATAGTGTACTAATTGTGATGTAAATTGGGATAAATTGAAGGGGATGAAAACATCACACTTTCTGTTAGTGCGATCTGAACACTACATTTGAATTACACGTTCAATGCTCTACCAATTTAGGCGAGGGCCCACAACCTTCGAATTACGCATGCCAATACTAGAGCATCAGACATGTAATTTTAACCATGTAGCCATGTCTCATACTGCTGCTTATGTGTTACTAATTACTGACTACATGGTTGCGTGTCCGCTTTCAGTGTGATAAATATCAGGTTCGATTCTTTGTGCCAAATGGAAGCCTACCGATTTTTCCTAAGGGGCAGAGAAGTGCTCTGACTTGGCGATTGGTTGTTCATGGGCACCCATCTTGAAAGGTGGCCCCCATAAGGTTCTGTAAAGGTACCTGGGTGCACATTAACCCGCCATAGACTTGGGGGAAATAGTCGAGTGTTTGCCGCCTCTGTCAGAGGCAGGGAACTGCTGCTACTGGACACCTATTGGTAGAATAGGTACAAGCGCACTTCCAGCTTGTTGCTTGGCAGAAAGAAGTTCGTGGTTGCTTGGGAGGGCTTCATAGTGTATGAAATTCACAGCATGTAGTCGCCAGATGTAAAAAGGTCTTTTTTTTTTTAATGTAGACTGAAGCGCATAACCCTTATTCATGGATATTTTTCTTACCACGCTTCCATCTTCCCCTTCTTGCTGTTTTGAGTACTTCGTAAATGCAGCATAAAAATTTTTCAGACTATATACATTTTATAAAACATAAACGTGTCGCAAAGTGTGTAGCCTTAATTTGCAATAAAGAACACACATTAGGAAAACAAAAAGAAGCAAGCAAAATGGCAAGAGTAGTATCTTACCTGCTAGATGATACTAGCTGTCCAGCCATGCTTCAAACCCCAGAAATTCAAATTTGAAATTGTCTATAGCAGGCTGGTAATGCTCATAGGCACAGGCAAGAAAGTGCAAATGAGTGCACCAGGTTGTGAAAATTAATTTGTTGTGTTCCACTACAGTGTGTCTCAATGAT